TTTTTTTTAGGATTTTTTTGTTTGTTTGTTTTCTTCAGTGAATTTAAAACATGAGAATATGTTTTGGAACATCAGTGATCATGATATATTTAACTATTTTGTTCTCCTCAACAATAGGTAAACATATTTGAATCTTTTTTTTCCAATTCAACAGAACTTTGATCACTATATAACACTAAATGTACCTTCTTCATTTTGCAGTCTGCTCCTCTGATGCAGATATTGTTCAGGAGGATAATGTAAAATTAGGTCAAGCCGGAGAAGATGTGAACCTCGCTTGCACCTTTTCAAAGCTTCTGCAAACGACAACAGCGTGGTTTAAACAGACGGCTGATAGAAAAAACGTACAAATTGTATCTTTATATTTAAATCAACAACCCAGTTGGAATGAGGACTTTGATAAAACAAATCGGTTTAATGTTATTAAAGGAGATGATCATTTTAATCTGACCATTTTAAAGACAAAACCTTCAGACTCAGCAACATATTACTGTGTAGTTTCATCATATTACACCATTGGAATGGGTGCAGGAACCAGATTACTTGTCAAAGGTATGTTTCCCTGCTTATTTTAGCTTTGTTTGGTTGGAGGTAATTGATTTTTTGTCCTTACCATTTCTGTCCCACTTATGTCGCATTTCAAGATGCAGCTGTGGACAGACACATTATTCTTCAGCAGTCTTCGATAGACAAGCTTCATCCAGGGGATTCTGTGAGTTTGCAGTGCAGCATCTTCACTGAGAACTGTGCAGGAGAACACAGTGTCTACTGGTTCAGGCAAAGCTTGGGAGAATCTCAAGGAGTCCTTTACACCAAAGGAGAAAGAAATGGTCAGTGTGAGAACAGCACTGAGTCTCAAACACAGAGCTGTGTCTACAATCTCTTCAAGAGCAACATCAGTCACTCTGATGCTGGGATTTACTACTGTGCTGTGGCCGTGTGTGGAGAGATACTGTTTGGAAAAGGAACTGAACTCAATTTTAGAGGTAAGGTTTTTGGATAAATATTTGATGTTTTCACTCAGGTGGAACATTTGGTTCAAATATCAGGGGAAATAATGCCAAAGAACTGATCTACTATAAGCACCCTGAATTATGTCTTGAATTTTTGATCATTTCAGAGAGTGTCGATGTGAATCCAACCGTGCTTGTTCTTGGAGTTTTAAACATCATATTTTTGACTTTAGCTGTTTTTCTGGCCATAAAACCATGTCAGGATCCAAATAAAAGTAAGGTTTAATTTTGGTACACATAATATAAATATATTATTAATATACAGTATCACATATTTCTATATACTTGTTTATAAAAATGCAACAATTGACACTAAAGATATACTTTATTTCTTTTCTTTTTAATAAAATTTTTTATTCACCCACAATCCACAAATCTCAAGAGTGTCAAGTAAGTTATTTTATGTTTTATGATTTATGATTACGTTTTATGTTTTATGATTTCAAATAATATAATTATTCATTAGAATTATACGGTCAGTCTTATTAAGTGCAAATTATTATGCTGATGTGTCTTCTTAAGACTCAATTTTACATGTTATGTGACTCTTTTTTTCTCTGATCTTTGTTTTTTTTCTCATTATTGTAGGGGGAAGACATTCTGAGTTATGCAGCACAAAGTTCTTTCATGGCAAATAAACCCAAAGTAAAGATTACTGAAGAACACTCTCTTGTTACATACAGCATGTATACTTAAAAAAAACAGCCTATAATCGCTTAAGGTCATGCTTTTCAGTTCAAGGCTAAATGCTGCATAAGTTTATGGGGTAAAGCATGCTTTAATTTTCAGTACTGCTTTGTAACAATGTACAATGTACATACCAGGTTTTCAGCAATTAATGTTACATTGTCTTTTAATGTACTCTGTAATATGTAATTTAATTTTTAACATGTTATTTGAGTTTTACATATACTTGGTTGCATGTACATATGGCCAGCTATACAGAAAAGAAATCCATCAACAGATGCTTGTTGGTATGTTTAACTCTGTTTACTTACATTATATTGGGTTTTCGACAATTGATTGTAAAATCAGATGATTTGTCTCAAAGAACTTGCCACACATTCCTTTTTATACTCTCAGTAGAAATGTAAGACATGATGTGTAATTTACAAAGTAATTTTGCATAAATGGTGTTATAACAATAATGCATGATCTGTGATATCTACATACATCTTTTTAATCTTCCGTCCCCCCCAAAAAGTTAACAATATAATGTAGGACTGGCTTTACGTTTCTGTAAATAGCCAAACATGAAGTCTGCTTTATACATTATTGTTTCTGTATCTTTTATTCACTGCTGCATGTCTTTTTCTTTTTACACTTAATGCACATTCAGTGTCAATGACAATTAAACACAGCCATCCAAACAGACTTTTCATTTATCAAATGTGCAATTTCACTTAAAATATTTCCACTAACACATTTAACAAAAACATATACCGACAGAACTACTGAAGTGTTCTCTATTGATTGCATAACATATTTGGTACATTTTCTCGATTTTAATTAACTACATGCTTTTCTTAAAGGAAAAAAAAAAGTCCAAGCTTGTTTTTCAAAACATTACAACAGACAACAAACATATTCTCTGATATAGGTTATGTTATTAATACATATAACAAACAAATGCAATTTATACAATTAGCTTATCATGGCTTCACTATGCATAATATTGGTCATCTGTGAAAACTCAGAGTTAACAAATAATCTGGACACTGGAGAAAACAAAGTAAATTTTACCATGTTCCTGAGTTCTTTTTATCATGCGGATGGAATATGACAGCAACCTTTATGACAAACTTTTGTCCAAGAAATAGTAGAGGCCTGCCGAGTAGTGATGTGACAATTAAACCGAGGCATCAGAGCTTGTGTCGAGAATAAAGAGAAGTGTGGAGGAACATACTATTGGGAATAAATGGGCCTGCCAGATGAAGCCTCGATTCGAGAATTGTGTCGTTAACGTAGAAATCACGTGACCAATGACAAACCGGCTGCGTTTGAAACCGCATACTCAGGTACTTAATTTCAAGAAGTACTTACTTAACGAGCCCTAAAAGAGTATGTACTCTACAGCTAAATCTCCTTGAGTATAGCTGTGTCCCAAAGTTAAGTGCACACACTTCGAAGGGCACGGACTTCGAAAGCCACGCCTCCGAATTTGCTCCAGGATTTCCTAATTGCGGCACAAATTTTAGTTTTTATGTTTTACGTCATAATGGAGGAGACAGGTGATGTACCTCAGGCTTAGCCAAAACCGAGGCCAGGTAAATTACACTGGTTTGCTGCGACCTTTGTCGGATTACAAGTTTAAATGCAGGAATTGGCTTGGAGCTTACTTGAATAATGTAATGATAGCCTACATATGAAAACTACAAAATACACAGACACACACATAGCAGTTCAAATGCTGACTGATATCTTACAAAGGTGCGATTTTATATAGTTTATGGTCTTGACCATTGTGATCATATGTAGACAGGTTAGCAAAAATAAAACTGTGAATAAAAAAATAGAGCATTGTACAGCTCAATGTTCAGCGGCAGCTGTCACAGCTGAACAGTGCTCTGTTTGACGGTCCGAGTCCTTCAGATGCAGCCTTTGATATAGTTAGCAAAAATGTGTTAATATTCTGACAAAATGTTGATACTTTCATTTTCAAAATAATCAGAGGTGGACTGGAAGGAAGTACATTCGTTAAGTATTCTCGAACAAATATGAAGTACTGAGTTTTCTTTTTTTCTCACAGACAGCAACACTATAAAAATATGGATTTACAACATGATGCATTGTTGTAGATTAAACTACCCAACAGTATATTTAGTAGGCAACTTTAAATTTAATAACCTTGAACATAATCAGAAGTAAAATGCAACATACACATTAGTGCAGCAGTAATATTAATGCAAAACCATCCTAACTAATTATTTTTTCAGAACAATACTGTATACCTTTACTTTTACTCTCAATACCTTATTACCAATAAATTACCAATAAGTATGTTAGAGTATGCAAGATAATCCTTTTACTTAAAGAATAGTTCACCCAAAAATGAAAATTCAGTAATCATTTACTCACCCTCAAGTTGTTCCAGGTTTGGAATTTTCATTTTTGGGTGAACTATCCCTTTAGCTAAGGTTATAAATGTGACAAGTAGCTTTTCCCCAATATGGTATTGGTAGTTACTAAAGGTAGTTTACTAAAGTATCTCAATATTTCTTCTACTAATTACTTTGTCATAAAGTAATTTTGGACGTGCCTACACCTCAGCTGGACAGGCGGCTTCGGCGCTTCATTCAATGGCGGTCCTCCAGGTCTTCCAGGCCAAAATCCTTGCATCCTCCGATGAGTCTGGCCTGGACCCCGCTACCCTCAGGGATCTGAGGAGTGCAACTGACCTAGCTCTACGCACCACCAAGGCCACCGCCCAGGCGATCGGGAGATCGATGGCCAGCCTTGTGGTGCTCGAGCGCCATTTGTGGCTGACGCTGACAGAGATTAAGGACGCGGATAAGATCCCCTTCCTCGATGCTCCAGTCTCTCCCAAAGACCTTTTCGGCTCAGCGGTTGAAGGATTCGCTGAGAGCTTCACGGAGGCACAGAAATCATCCCAGGCTATGCGACATTTCCTGCCTAAGCGCTCCAGCTCCGCTGCTGCCTCAGCTCGCCCTAAGTCTGCGCCCACTCAGCAGCCCACGAAACCAGCACCTGTCACCGCTGTTCAGCCTGCTAAAGCGCAGCAGACGCGGGGACGCTCTCGGTCGGCCAAATGCTACACCAGGGACCCCGACCCAAGATTGTGTTGGACCCGGTGCCTCAGGCGTCATCCTGATCTGCGAGACAGGAAGAGGACGGGGTCAGATCTCGCTACAACCGGACTGCCCCTCAAGCAGCCTCTCTTACACCTCTTGACACCCCGTTCAACTCCGGGTGCAGAGGGAAATGTGTTTTGTGCAAACAACGGGTCAGTTCATGCGCCCAAGCATTCAACCACTGTGATAGCGGAAAAAAAATTATAAAACACAAACATTTTCAAAAAGAGAGCAAACTTCCTCTTCCATTACTCGTAAGTGTTTTGCCCCCGTGCGGCCAGTCACCCGAGTTAATTCAACCCCTCGCCATGCGGGCCGAGGCCTGGCAGGCCATCACTGGAGTGTCGAGATGGGTTATAGGGATAATAAAGTGAGGATAGTCACTCCAATTTGCTCGAAGACCCCCGCGTTCAGCGGCGTGGTCCCCACCTCAGTGCAGACGTGTTCTGCACTGAGTGCTCACGTCCTGCGCTCAGAGGTGATGAATTTGCTTGCAAAAGGAGCTGTGGAAATGGTTTTTCCAGCCCAGAGCGAGTCTGGCTTTTACAGCCGTTACTTCCTCATCCCCAAAAGAGATGGTGGCCTCCGACCCATCCTCGATCTCAAACACCTGAATTGCACCCTCATGAAGAGGTCGTTTAGGATGATTACACTGAAACAGATCCTCACGCAAATTAGCTCGGGAGACTGGTTATTTTCACTGGACCTGAAGGATGCATACTTTCACATCCAGATAGCCCCCTGTCACAGGCAATTCTTGAGATTCGCCTGCGAGGGAGTGGCTTATCAATATACGGTCCTTCCCTTCGGGCTGTCCTGGCCCCCCCGCACTTTTACGAAGTGCATGGATGCGGCTCTCTCCCCTCTGAGACAGATGGGAATCCGTATTCTCAATTACCTCGATGACTGGCTCTTTCTGACCCAGTCGGAGGCAGAATTAATATCACACAGGACCCTCCTCCTCAGCCACCTGGAGTGCCTGGGACTCTGGGTCAATTTTGCCAAGAGCTCGTTGTTTCCCAGCCAGTGAATTTCGTTCCTGGGAACAATTTTCGAAATGAAAGCTGTAGTCACGCCGGAACGAGCTCTGGCCATACGGAGGCTGGCGACCTCTTTCGAGATTGGTACCTCAGCTATTGATAGCAGCCCCTTGGCCTGTTCCGCTGAGACAGGATCTCTTCTCTCAAGCAGACAGGACAATATGGCATCCTCGGCCCGACCTATGGGCCCTGCACCTCTGGCTGCTCGACGGGAGCCTTCGAGCCTCCCAGAGCGAGTCTTAAACACAATTTCGGAGGCTAGAGCTCCATCTACGAGACGCCTCTACGTCTTACAGTGGTCTTTTTTCTCTGCTTGGTGTCTAAACCGCGGCAAAGACCCCCTTAATTCCGATTTGACAGAGGTGTTGTCATTTCTACAAGAGCTGCTGGATAAGGGACATTCCCCATCCACGCTCAACGTTTATGTGGCTGATATAACGTCCTTTCATGCCCCTATTGAGGGCCAATCGGTGGGCAGAAACAGCGCGGTCATACGCTTCCTGAGGGGTGCTAGGAGGCTGAATCTGCCCCATCCCCCTACTGTCCCTTCATGGGACCTGCCCACTGTGCTGAGGGCCCTGAAGGGCCCCACTTTCGAGCCGCTAGAGTCTGCCAACATTAGGTCGCTATCGCAGAAGACTGCTCTGCTTCAAGCACTGGCATCAGTAAAGCACATTAGTACCTAAAGTCAGGTCATTACACTCTCTGCGCTTCCTCCAACTGAAGAGGACAGAAAGCTATCTCTGCTCTGCCCCGTCAGAGCTTTGAGAATCTATATTGAGCGTTCTGCTCCCTATAGGTGGTCGGAACAACTCTTTGTCAGCTTCGGTAACCGCACCAAAGGGCTTCCAGTTACGAAGCAAAGACTCTCTAGATGGATAGTAGACTCCATCTCGCTAGCGTACTCTTCTTTGGGCCTCCAATGCCCCATTGGAGTACGGGCCCACTCGACTAGAGGCATCGCCTCGTCTTGGGCATGGTCCAGTGGTGTGTCCATTGTGGATATTTGTGAGGCGGCTGGCTGGGCCTCGCCGTCCACATTCGCAAGGTTTTATAACCTGGAAGTACCAGCCTTGCAGGCCAGGGTCCTTTCCGCTTGAAGTGACATGTGCTGTGTAAACAGATCTGGCAGAGAGCCCTTGGCCGTATCACGCCCAAGTTCTCTGGCATTGTTTCACCTGTTAGCTCTCGGCCCCTGGGTTTCAAAGTTATGGGAGCACTCTGGAACGATTAACCAGGTTGGGTGTGACCTAGGAAGCTCAGCCCGTCTTAACCTTGGGTTATTGTTAACTTCTCTATGAGCATTGGTTGGTTATGGAAGTTTTATACCTTTAGTCGTTCCACTACATTAGCATGGCGTGATTGTACTGTGTTCCCATATGCGTCTAGCAGATGCAGTATGAGTGTAGTATCGAAAGGGAACGTACTCGGTTACTAACGTAACCTCGGTTCCCTGAGATACGGGAACGAGTACAGCGTTGCTAGCCGTGCTATGTAGCTGCACGACTCAGTCGTCGCTTCAGTCGATGTAACCTGAGAATCCTGTGGCGAGCGCCCGCTTATATAGCCAGATGCTCCGCCCATTCTGGCGGGCTTTAGTGGGCTTCGTCGCCATAGGCTCGTGCAGCTCTGCTGCCTAGCCATTGGTTCGTTTTTTAAGCACTGCACGAACCAATGGCCATGCAGTTTCACTGCGGGAATGAAAAGGCTTCAGTTCAGGAGAAAAAGTTCAGGCTTTTTTCTCATATGTGTCTAGCAGACGCAGTACTCGTTCCCGTATATCAGTTTTTAATGGTTTTCGGCTGAGCAGGGAGGCCCTGACAGTGCTGCTGGATCTTCTGAGAAGTGAACGGCAACATGGATGGGGTGCTACAATCGAGACCCTGGTGTTTCTTTTCTGTCTGGCCAGTGGTACATCATACAGAGTGGTCTCCACTCTCCAGAGTGTTTGACATGCCTCGTTCCACTGTCACCGCATTGTCCTCCAAGTCGCTGAGGAGTAATTCACCTCCCGAAGACTCCAGAACACATGGAAGCAGGGCTGGGCTTAAAGTTTATGTTTTTTTCTGATGTTAAACCTAAGCTATGTTGTAAATAGTTGTACAAAAATTAACAATGTACATAATTACTTCTCTTTTATTTACACATGTGAATATGCAAAACAAAAATACAAAATGTACAGAAAGTGCTCTAGCTCATTTACAAATAAATTACACTGCAAAAATGAATACTGTATACAACTTATTCATTTCATTTTGAACTTACATCACAAAAATGAACTACAGAAATGAGGTTGTTTCATTGACAATGTGATATTTAAAAAAAGATATTGAAAAATTGTAATGTACCCATTTTTTCCACTGTTTTCTCTTGGCTAATAGAGAATGGCTATTAAATAATGGATTTGTTAAGCATTCTCTCAACAAGAGAAAACAGTCCCTCCATTCTCTCCTTGCTCTCCTGTGCTCTTCTCTACTCTGTCTCTCTCTGGTATTTGATGTCCTCCCTGAGTAGCTCCACCAGCTTCCACTCCCTCACCTGTCCCAGGACACTTGCAATCCTAAGGCAGAGCAAATAAACCATGCCTGTTAACAACAACAGCACAAATTTCAGCAAAAATGTGTCTATTAACTTGCTTACTTTGTATTTTTTAAGCCTTTCCCCAGCAGGCTCATTTTCTCCAGAATAGTCCTAAAACAAGAGAAAATGGATACACTTATGAAAAATATAAAGACAGGTTTGCAGTCTTAACATTAGAAAATATGATACAGCAGGGCATGCATACAAAGTACTGAAGTGCTAAAGTTTGGTTAAAACATTTGTAGACATGACAGCACTACAAAAACACAACAAAAAGAAAGACTATTGCCTTTTTTTTTAAACCTGGCTTTTTTAACACTTGTATCGCTAGGTATTTGAGTATATGAAAACACAATACTTACATTTCAATGTGAATTCCCCCACAGAACTGTCATCCTCCATGTTCTTTGAATATAAATTCCATCGTCATCTGCGCGCAAGTGATTCTGGGATATGGTAGGGTGCGAAGTGTCCATCAGATGTACACTTAATTTTCCTGGGAAAGGGAAGGTGCATTTGAAGACGCTTTCGAAATGCGTCAGCCTTCGTCGCGCCACGGTGACGCAATTGGCCTTGGTCTTCGGAGGGTGCATCCTAAATTGGGACAGCTTACGTCGTGACGCTGTGACGCAATCACACTTCAAATGCGCACTTCGGAGTCCGCACACTTCAGTTTGGGACAGCCTTCGTCGCGCTACTGTGATGCAATCGCACATCAAATGCACACTTCGGGGTCCGTGCACTTCACATTGGGACACAGCTTCTATGTCGTGGCCACAGGTGCTTCTCTAACGGAAGGCTGCATCCTTCCTAGTTCAGTCCTTCAGAGGCTTGTAGGCTAGAGTCATCCTCGGCATTAAACGCTAGAATGAGACGGTCTAGTAAGTGCGCGTGACTACGTTACATATGTTCACCTCACCGTCACGGCACAAAATAACTAATAAAACGTAGTTTTATATTATTTTGCCTTTTATTAATGCAATACTATGAATCACAGTCATCTAGTCTCCCTGTGGGTTAAATTGTTGGCAGTTTAGCATTTAGTAAGTAATTTACACAAAAACAAAAGATAACATCTATCCTTTCATGTCCGAAAACATTATTTTGTCTTACATTGCATAATAAATTCAGACAAGCTTAGTACTGACTCGTTTTTCGTCAGTTTATTTTCATGAAATGGAATGGGTACAAAGGATTGAGGGTGATGGAAGGTCGCGGAGGATACATCCCATGCATCCTTCAAATTCATCTGAATGAAGGACGCGAAATGAAGGCTGCCTTCCAAGGATCCTTCCGATTGAGATGGCCTTCAGCGATGTTTGATGACGTGGCAGCTGAGATATGCAGCCTTCGTAGGATGCAGCCTTCCGTTTGAGAAACAGCCCACGACAAAACTAAGTGAACTGAACCTGTCAGCTCCCGGGCACAGTACCTCCGTCATCCATCCTATGACCCAGAAACCAATCGAGCTCAGCCAGCT